TCTACATTTCTTAGAAATAATGGAAACAGCGCGCAAACGACAAGGACGGGAGGAAAAGGAGTACACAGGACGAGCGCTGAACTGACAACTGAATATTTATTGAAAAGGACCCAACGAAGAAAACACCCACAAAAACACACTCGCATCAACACGTGTCCATGAAAGTAATCTCCTTCTTATGTAAATACACAGAAGTTTGACTCACGCAGTTCTGTTCCCCCTCCTTCTTTATTCCATACGCTTCTAAAATTTCCCTGGCTGTTTTATCTGCTCCCCTCCCCATGATTGTGATCTTATTGAAATCAGGATGACATTTGCATGTTCCGCAGTGCAGGGGCAAATGCCCTCCTGCTGTTGAACTAAGCGACCAGTCATGTTCGCGTGCCCTTTCATTTATGCAACGGCCCGTTTGTCCGATGTAAGCTCTTCCACAGCTTAACGGGATCCTGTACACCACTCCGATCGCACAATCCACGTACTTCTTTCTGTGGTTTACAGTGCATTGGTTCCCACCCCCCCTCCTCTCGGCTACTTTAGAACAAAGGTGTGCCAGCTTACGAGGCGCCGAAAACACGACAGGGACATCAAACCTCCCCGCCACCTTTTTCAGGTTGTGGGAAATTCTGTGCTGATACGGGATAACCTGAGGTCTCTTGCTAGGTCTATCCAGCCGCTGATGAGGTCCCCCCTTAATCCTTTTTAACAGCGTTTCCGCTACCGCCAGCAAAACAGAAGAAGGGTATCCCCCTGCTGCAAGCCGCACTGTCTGCTGTTCAAAGCTCTCAGCCATAGAATGGGGACAGGACTTATCAAGGGCATCCTGCATACACGAAGACGCTATGCTTCGTTTGACGAGCTTTGAGTGGGCGGAGTCGAAGGGCAGAAGTCCCTTTTTCGTACGAGGATGGTAGGCCCAACATACGTGACTTCCTGTGAACTGTAGTTTTAAATCTAAATACTGGAGGCAGAACCCATCTTGGAGTTCATGAGTAAACCTCAGTCCCCCAGAGTTTTTTGCAAAAACTTCCATCACCTTTTTGACAACCTGATCCTCGAGGACCCCCCCAGACGATTTAGTGAGCACGAGGTAATCGTCCACATATCTGAACACTTTCCTAACGCTGTTTCCGTCCAAATTTTCTACAATAGCTCGATCGCACATGGCCAAATAAATGTCGCAGAGAATGGGCGCTACACTTGAGCCTATACATATTCCTTCTTTCTGCAAATAGTAACCACCGTCAAACAGGACAAACGTCGATTGTAAATAAAACTCCAACAGTTCCAGAAAGCCATCAACCCCCACCCCACTTGCGTTCTGAAATGGAATCACCCCGTTTCTATCGATACACTCACGCACCGAAGCAAAGAGGCGCTCATGGGGTACGGAATAAAACAAATCCTCGACATCAATGGAAAACGCTGCTGCATCTGCGCGTACGCCATTGCTAAGATACTCCACAACCGCCTGTGAATTGCGCACTAAAAACGGGTCAAAAAGTTCCAGGGCACCTAAGTGTTTCTGAAGGTACTGGCTTACCAGTTTCTGCCAAGCACCCCTCTCCGTAACAATGGTTCTGAGGGGCAGCCCCAACTTGTGAGTTTTCACCGAAAAGAAAACTTCCAGGTGCCCTGCCTTGCTTTTCCCAATGTCTTTCTCTAAAGTAGACAACTCGAGACTATTACACAACTTCAGCGCAGCACTCTTGACTTTCTTGGGATCAAGGGAGGTCAGTTTAAAGTGTTCTTGAATTGCAGCGCTCGACTTGGACGTTAACATGTCCTGTGGGAGCACAACAAACCCCCCCTTCTTGTCCGCCTGAAGCAAACCAAGCTTGTTTTCTTGGAAAAACGAAACAACATTTTTTCAAAGTCCTCCCACCTGGCACTGGCAACGTGTTTCTGGCACAACGTAACAAACAGTCAACACCCTCCAAAACACATCTTTCCCTTTCTTCAATTTCAGCCCTTTCTGATATTCTACGCACGACAGCTAACTGTTCATGCGGTTTCAAACGCGGTTCCACACTGTACTTAGGACCCGTTTTTAGTGCGCAATTCACAGGCGGTTGTGGAGTATCTTAGCAATGGCGTACGCGCAGATGCAGCAGCGTTTTCCATTGATGCCGAGGATTTGTTTTATTGCGTACCCCATGAGCGCCTCTTTGCTTCGGTGCGTGAGTGTATCGATAGAAACGGGGTGATTCCATTTCAGAACGCAAGTGGGGTGGGGGTTGATGGCTTTCTGGAACTGTTGGAGTTTTATTTACAATCGACGTTTGTCCTGTTTGACGGTGGTTACTACTTGCAGAAAGAAGGAATATGTATAGGCTCAAGTGTAGCGCCCATTCTCTGCGACATTTATTTGGCCATGTGCGATCGAGCTATTGTAGAAAATTTGGACGGAAACAGCGTTAGGAAAGTGTTCAGATATGTGGACGATTACCTCGTGCTCACTAAATCGTCTGGGGGGGTCCTCGAGGATCAGGTTGTCAAAAAGGTGATGGAAGTTTTTGCAAAAAACTCTGGGGGACTGAGGTTTACTCATGAACTCCAAGATGGGTTCTGCCTCCAGTATTTAGATTTAAAACTACAGTTCACAGGAAGTCACGTATGTTGGGCCTACCATCTTCGTACGAAAAAGGGACTTCTGCCCTTCGACTCCGCCCACTCAAAGCTCGTCAAACGAAGCATAGCGTCTTCGTGTATGCAGGCTGCCCTTGATAAGTCCTGTCCCCATTCTATGGCTGAGAGCTTTGAACAGCAGACAGTGCGGCTTGCAGCAGGGGGATACCCTTCTTCTGTTTTGCTGGCGGTAGCGGAAACGCTGTTAAAAAGGATTAAGGGGGGACCTCATCAGCGGCTGGATAGACCTAGCAAGAGACCTCAGGTTACCCCGTATCAGCACAGAATTTCCCACAACCTGAAAAAGGTGGCGGGGAGGTTTGATGTCCCTGTCGTGTTTTCGGCGCGTCGTAAGCTGGCACACCTTTGTTCTAAAGTAGCCGAGAGGAGGGGGAGTGGGAACCAATGCACTGTAAACCACAGAAAGAAGTACGTGGATTGTGCAATCGGAGTGGTGTACAGGATCCCGTTAAGCTGTGGAAGAGCTTACATCGGACAAACGGGCCGTCGCATAAATGAAAGGGCACGCGAACATGACTGGTCGCTTAGTTCAACAGCAGGAGGGCATTTGCCCCTGCACTGCGGAACATGCAAATGTCATCCTGATTTCAATAAGATCACAATCATGGGGAGGGGAGCAGATAAAACAGCCAGGGAAATTTTAGAAGCGTATGGAATAAAGAAGGAGGGGGAACAGAACTGCGTGAGTCAAACTTCTGTGTATTTACATAAGAAGGAGATTACTTTCATGGACACGTGTTGATGCGAGTGTGTTTTTGTGGGTGTTTTCTTCGTTGGGTCCTTTTCAATAAATATTCAGTTGTCAGTTCAGCGCTCGTCCTGTGTACTCCTTTTCCTCCCGTCCTTGTCGTTTGCGCGCTGTTTCCATTATTTCTAAGCATGAACCAACTCGCCCACATCGCTACTCTGATCCTCTACATTTCCTCTTCCTCCCAGTCCAGTCTCGGTTCCCGTTTCGAGCAGCTGCATTTTTTTTTACTTCAATTGAAGATCTGTCATGCTGTATCAAAGTATTGATTAAGTAGTCTTTTGACACCATATTAAATCGCAGGGCAAAAGATTTTAAAAATATTTTGGGGGGTGTCGTGTCTCTTTAAGGAAATAATTTGCAGAAACCATTTCCATTTTTCATACCTAAAACGGCAAAAGGAATACTTACTCACTACAGCGTTGACCCTGAATGGATCCAGCTGGGGTTTTGCGTCCTTGTCCTTGTGTGCATTTGACCGCTTTCCAGAGATGGACTTGCCCAATAGTTCTTCTTCCGGGAAAACCTGGCGGAGCAGCTCCCGGGCGTATGATGTGGCTGTCTTCGTGGGGCCCAGCTCCACCATCTTGAGGAGTGTCTTGCTCACCATGAAGCCCCCTATATCATCAGTTTCATCTTCAGGCTAGAAGAAACTAGAACGATTTAAGTTGTAATGCAAGTCCCGGTCTGTTCAGAAAAGGCTGTTGAGGGTTACTTCTATAATCAACAACGTTGACTACAGTCGACTATGTGTTGTAACGGAGATGCACTCTCCAAACAAGGTTTCTGATCTGAACCCACTAAAATGAAAGCTACAAGGCTGTGCATAAAATGAGTGGTAGATGGCAGTAGGCATTCCGAATTGAGCCAGCGGGTGCTTTCCAGTGCAGCCCAGATAAGAATGTTGAAATAAAGCTCACTCACATAAAAGTGAATTCTTTTGAAAGCAGCTAGCATGCTCTTACAATGCAATCTCTGAACTCCAAAAGTTGCAGGGGCGTGACTTTTTTTTTTTTTAATATGCCCTTCCTTCATTCTTTCCTCATACCAGCTATTTTCCAATGTGAAAACAGTGAAGAAGGCCTTCTTCACAGCGTGCTACACTGACAATATTTCTTTTTTTATGTTTTACTACAATAAAAACTAGGATGACATCTCAGCAACTCTGAGCATGAATGTCAGGCAAGGGTCACCAATACTGCCGATGACGTTACTTTTCCTATAGCATATTCGGCTGGTAACTTTCCAGCGCTCAAATCCTCTGAATTGAATCTGCGAGATCTGGGAGTGCCTCGAAATTCCAGTGAGAGGAACGGCGTGCCAGCTGAACACTCGGCAACCTCGCAACGCAACGACTCAGAAGACCTCCAGCCGGCACTTTCAGAGCGCTCTGAAATTTCTGGCAGAATGCACTTGGAGTGCCTGACTTAACCTAGCCCAATGCGCAGCGGCTTTCCACGGTGCTCTAAGATGCTGTAAAGCGACCAGTCGAATGTCCCATTAGTTTCCTCCGGTCTGCTCCTTTCACATGCTCATCATAAACTGGACCTAAAGGCATTTTTTAATTGATAATTGCATAGCTCCTACTATATCAAATCATCTCATATGCTCAGAAAAATTATAATTAGTGAAAACTTTGCTCCTACTACACCAAATTATATCATATTGCCGCATATGTGTGCGGTGGCCGAGTGGGCACCGCACCTGGCTACCACGCAGAGGTCACGGGTTCGAATCCCGGGACCGGCTGCTGCCTTTTTATTAACTCGTAAAGTCCGTCGTTCTAGAAAATTCGAAAATGTTGTTGTTTGTTCTAGTGACGAATGTTCTAGTAGGAATATTCCAGAAAGTGAAGCGGCTATAAAGGGAGTCCCACGTAGCCAGTCAGTCTATCACCTGCGCTTGACTCTGCTGTACACTGAGATTCGACATCCACGACGCAGTTATTCTCTTTTGTTTTGGGCACAAGTTCGCCCCATTAAACATGTATTTTCCTGTCACCTGTCATTCGTGACAATATGCTCTGCAAACTTGTAATTGGTGAAAACATTGCTCCTTCTCCATATCTACATCAAATGTAAAAAACTATTACATACCTCTGCCCGACGTTCTGTGATTTCTGCATTTCTCGCCTTCCCCATTTCTCGCAGCTCTTCATGAAGGAGGCGAACATCGCTCACAGAATTTGCAAGCTCTGAAAAATAAAAAAATTAGTAAAAAAAAAAGTAGAACACTAAAGTCATGCTTAAGCAGCAAGTGACACAAGACTGCTTGGACATGATTTGTTTAGGTGCAGTTTACTGATCCCGTGTATTCATTTACCTGAAAAATCTCTAAAACACAAATGAGAGGCACAAGTCTTACAGACTTTCTTATTTCATAAACTGATCATCGGGAACAGTGATTCAAGTTCATGGAAGCAATGTCCATGCATGCCTGAAATGGCCACATGTCACTAAAATATTTGAAATCTTTCAAGAGAAATGGGGTCTTATGCATCAAAACAACTGATGCTATGATCACTGCTATGGTGCTTGGAATGTGTCTTCAAATGATGCATGGAAAATGGTAAACAAAATGTCACAGGAGCCGGTGTGCCACTGTTTCGATCCTGGCACTTGTCCGTAAAAGTGCCAGAGAAGAACACAAGTGGAGGGAATTGGCAGCTGAGGCTGTGAGGTTTCTGTTGACCATCATGCTGCAGAGCCAGCTACAGCAGAACAGTTGTCTGCCACACTCATATTTTCAGCTGTGTGACCTACAGGACTACAGCAGGCAACAGTTTCACACGCGCAACATCATCGAGCACGAATTGAGACAGAAATGAGGATGTGGTAAGCACACCATCCGTGATGCGTTTCAGCACCACAGCGATGCCCAAGACCAGAGGTGTGCAAAGTGGGGGTCACAGTGCGACGACTGGGGGTCCCGGGGCATCAGAAGGCCGACGAGGTGTCGACAGCTCACTGCTTCAAATGTTTGACTATCAACTTCGGCAGTCAAGTCTTTTTTGATATGCTGCATGCCACACTTGTTAAGGAAGGTACAAAAGGCCTCAAACCTGTAAAGGCATTCCTAGTAGTCGATAATGAGAAGTAAAAAGGAGCTCCACTAGATTCCTAAACATTTAAGGGAATTTTTTTTTCTTGAGGAGTGTATGGGAGGCAAGAAATTATTGTGGATCAGGAGATCACACCAGGGCAATGTGGGTAGCTGTCGACTGATTGCAGACATTTTTGGCTAAAATAAAATGTAAATGCTTGATGCGGCTGTTGTCGAACAGAGCTCGTGTTAGCATTGTGACTATGCTGTCAGCAGTGCGAGGCTGCAGCACTGTGGAAGCTATGCTCGCCCTTACAGCGTAGCACAGGAAAGACAGCGTTAAGTATAAATCTTCTAAATCTGGCAGCTTTTCTTTAAATCACCTCTGTGACAAATTCCACTTATCACATCAAAATGAACGCCCATACGCAGGAGAGTGAGGTGTGCCCTCCCCATTTCCTTATCACGCGTATCTGAGCTTTGTGGGAACATAACAGGCATCCCATGCAGTCAGCCTAGTATGACCGCGCTCGACTGGCTCGCACTAGCAAGGTGGTAGCGCCCGGAAGTCGTACTTGCAAATGTGGATAGCTGCTGCAATCTAATCGGATTTATTCAGATGTGATTCTGCAACACTCCAAGAGCTCACGTTCAAACGAACAACTGAGCTTCTTCAAAGCTATTCATCGGCAACCGACGCACCTATATACACTGGAGTTAATGAGATCCTCGTGCTTGCACTATGTCTTTTTGTGTAATATCCAACCGACATGGAGCACTCCAAGAAGTTTCAAATATGTTTAGGCTGTGTGACGCCCATGTCAGCACATCAGTGTTTGTTTTTAACCATGCAACTTTACAAACAAAAACTGCGACAAGAAAGTTATTTTGCATTCATTAGGTGGCAACAAACTTAAATTACTTTGGTGAGAAATCTATATGTACTGGTTCTGACCCATACATACTCAAAAACGACAGAAAGCTTTGACAAAGTGAATACTTAAATCACAAAAAATTGCCTGCCAAAAAAACAACAAAACATAATTTGTTTACAAAGGATGTGCCATGTATGCCAAGGGAAGCAATATACTACAGCAAAGGCTGTAATGTCACCTTCTGTGTAGCACTTTGCTCTATCTTACAAAAGCAACTTGCAAAACTGAACAGTTAGCAACATGATATTTCAGGAGAGCTAAATAAAACACAAGCGTCAATTAGTAATAAATTCCCCAAGACATTGTTGCACCCCGACAAATAATTTGCCAGTGAGGAGATTATGTTGGAAAAGGGCAAAGGTACAGGGTCTGTTCGTATTAGATAATGCACACGTGCCCGGTCGACATTTTTGAATATCTTAATATTTCACAAAATCCTTTGCGATATTTTCTTAAAAATTGCAAAGGGGTATAAGAAAAAAAGAAATCTATTTCTCAAGAAAAACATTTAGACTGCATCAAAGCAATAACCCCCTATTTGCGTTTTGTAATTTTTGTAAGTTTGATGGCACATAACGGACAAGGTACAAACTATAGGATGATCAGATATTTTATAAAGATAGTTTATTGGGCCAACATCCACAATTTGTAGAATTCTTGAAACTAATACCATGCATTGAAAATTCCCTAACCTGGCTTTGACATTTTTGGGATTTATTATCTAGTAGCGTTTCTAAAATATAGCATTGGATTTTTTATAACATATTATTCACATAAGGGTCTATCGTCTGTATATAATTTGTTGATATAGTTCATAAAGAAAAATATTTACAGCGCTTGAAACATGTAGCAAGGTAAAAATTCCTGCAACTTCAATGTGCAATTGAAGCATTCGACACCATATTGCCGTGTTCTTCCATTAAAAACATGTTGCATAATTTTGTCTCCATCAAAGATATTGCACTTTGCAATGTACATTCCAGACGGACCTTTTTGTCACAGTTTGTGGCCTCGATTGCTCTTACAATTTATAAACTTCTTGTATTAGTGGGCTCGGCGGCACCGGCATGAACGGAATGACAAGTCCACTTTTGTTCTTCACTCAGGTGCTGCTGCTCTGTTCGGGGACAGCACAATCCGAGGAGGGACTTCTTTTCACCGTGCCACAGGACCTTGATTTGACTGGCGAAAATGCTTCGATTGACCGGCGACCGTTTTTTTCTGTTGAGTGGCCACGAGTCGCAAACCCGTGTATGACAAGACAAGCGCCAGGAACATCGGCATTATCAGAGGGGCGGTTTCTTCGTGGCTGGAACTCGGGCGTACCGGCAGTGGGCTCGGCGGCACCGGCATGAACGGAATGACAAGTCCTCTTTTGTTCTTCACTCAGGTTGGTGATAATCGATTTTACAGCAGTATTCGTGATGATTGTCGCTGTTTGCTAGTGCTACCGAGCCCACATGCCTTGTGTTTAATTGTTTCTGAGTGTTGTGATACCATCGCACTGTTACTTTTGTGTTGCGGTGACATAGAAACAAACCCTGGCCCCGACACCGCAGCCAAGCTGCAGGCCATCCTTGACGGTCAAAATGAAATCAGGAAGGATATAGTGGAAATGAAGGAGAAATTGGCTAACGTAGAAAAAGCTGTATCGGGGATGGCTGAGATCACAAAGAGGCTTGATGAGTCCGAAAAGGAAGTATCTGTAATGCGTGCTACTATGGACAGCATGTTAAGGAAGATTGACGACCTCGAAAATCGTAGTCGGCGTAATAATCTGGTAATTTGGGGGCTAGATGAGGCTCCAAACGAAAACGAGCTAAAACTGAGGGGCGAAGTGATCGAACGGATATTTCCAGATAAACTGGGTGTTTCAGTAACGAGTGTCCAACGCATACATAGAATGGGAAAGTCTACAGAGGACAGGCCTAGGCCTGTCATTCTGAACCTTGGAAATTTTAACGAAAAGAAGGAAATATTACGCAATGCTAAAAAGTTGAAAGGTACAAACGTTTTCATTAACGAAGACTATTCCAGCACTGTCAGACTGAAAAGGCAGAAACTTTGGCACAGCGCCTCTGAAGACAGGAAGAACGGAAAAAAAGTCGCATTGGTTTTCGATAAGTTGAAGGTAGACAGTTTTATCTATGCCTGGGACGAAGTTACGAGTCAGCGTTTCAGAGTGAATGATAGGGCGTCTGGCCGTGTGACAGAGGCTCATGCTGCTGTACAGGAATGACAGGAGCGCATTGATAAGTTTCGGTTATTAAATGTTAATGCCCGCAGTATTGTCAACAAGAGTAGTGATTTCGAACACATTCTGATTGAGCATCAACCCGATGTCGTGGTGATGACCGAAACGTGGCTGCATCCCGCTATCCTCGACTCCGAAATTTGTCCGCCTGGATATAACGTGATAAGAAATGACCGCACCAGTCGAGGGGGAGGCGTGGCCATTTTCATTGATAAAAGAATAAAGTACTCGGTGCTACAGAGTCCACCTGACATAGAAACAGCGTGGTGTAAGGTGTATCTAGGATCCCAAGAATTGGTTATTGGTGCTGTTTACCGTTCTCCAGGAGTAGGTGTGGATGCTGTTAATAAATTAGATGACTTCCTGCTCCCCTTGCGCGTACAGCACAAAAATGTTGTAATTGCGGGAGATTTCAATATAGCGGGTGTACTGTGGGATGAAATGTTGCCTGGAACGCGGGAACGTGAAGCCGCCACTGGGATCCTAGATTTATGTTTTTCCCATGGGCTAAAACAGGTTGTTCGAGAGTATACACGCATTCAAGGCAATAGTAAGTCAGTTCTCGATCTCGTATTTTTAAGCGAAGGGGTTGCATCTCGACCATACGAAGTTGAGCTTTTCCCGGGTTTTTCAGATCACCTGATAGTTAGCGTGATCATGACCTTGACGCCGTTTAGAAAAACGCTCAGACCCGTTTCGTCCTACAGAGACTTCGGCATGGTTGATGACACGGCTATTTTAGACGAACTAGATTACCACTATGGACCGTTTGAGGAACTTAGTCGTGAGGAGTCTGTAAGTGTTAATGACCTCTGGTTGAAATTTAAAACACTCGTTCATAAATGTATAGACATGCACGTACCATTGAAAAGAAAACGTAAACGAATGCATAATCCTTGGGTGACGAGAGAAGCCATTCACTTAAAAAGAAAAATAGGGCGGCGCAGATTGCGGTGTCGTCTT